TGGCCGCGGGCCGCAACACCACTTCAGGGGCGGAGCGCGCAAGGCCTGGGAAGGGCGGGGACTGCGCCGGCCCAGCCCCTGTGGCTATAGGCGTGGGCGCTAAGCAGGGCTAGAGCACCTCAACTGGACGGCGTGGGAGGACTGTCAAGCGGTTTGCAGCCAGCAGAACCTTTGCTTTTGCCCCGCAGGGTGACTATCTACACTTTCTGCGATCTGCGCTTGTTTTAGCCCAGGGGCTCTGTCCAGGGGCAACAGGGTGGGTCAAGGACGACCCTGACACTGCGGGCCATCCAGTGAAGGCCTGGAAATCAAGAAATAATAATTCCCAGGACTTTAGCTTTTACCCTTGGCCTAGTCTTAATCCTGACCTCAGTTCATCTTTAAGACAATCCTTTTGTTTTGAGACAAGGTCTCACTATGTACCCAGGCTGGCCTCTAACTCTAGGCGAACCTCCTGCCTTGGCCTCCGGAGGGCTGAGATTACAGATGTGCGCCAGCACACTGGCTTCAGGACAGTCCTGAACAATATGTTATAAATGTGGAAAACTTCCTCTAAAGAGAGACAATGTGCCCGCCCAAGGCCACTCAGAACCGACCATGTGGCCTCGGTCCAGGGCCACAGCCCCAAGTTCCAGCCCACTGCTCTGCTGCCCCAGGGGTTTCATTACACACAGGCTGCCTGCTTGCACCAGGCATCATGTTCATCTTGAATTAAACAGTAGAGATAGGAGCTGGCAACACAATAAAGTGGAAGGGCCTTCCACATTCTTGGGGTTCAAATACCCATTCTGACGAAAGCAGGAGCACCACGGGAACCTTGACTCCAAGGTCAAGACCAAGATGCAGCTGAGAACTCCAATCTCAGTAGCTTCTGAAACAAAATAAATCAGAGTAGGAACATATACAAAATGCCTCAATTCCAGCAGGGCATGGTGGCCTAGCACTCAGGCTGAGGCAGGAGAATCCTGGCCAACCTGGGCTACCTAGTACAAGACCAGCTTGAACTATATAAAGAAGACCCTGTCTCAAAAAAAAAACAAAAAAACAAACAAAAAAAAAAAACAGCAATTCTGATAACTAGCAGTCACTCTATCCACGATAAAGTTGGTAAAAAATATTTAAAATCTCAATACTGCATTGATATTCTTTTAATATTTTTATTAGAGACCAGGGATTTAAGAAGTTATTTCCTTACACTAGAGAAGGTGTCTTAATCTGAACTATTGAACAAAATTTCACAAGCAACATAAGGATTATTACATAAGGACAACCAATAATAATGACTTTCTTTTTTGATGAGGGTCTATGTTGCCCAGGCTAGCCCCAAACTCATACTATCAAGTGATTCACCTGCCTCAGCCTCCCAAGTAGCTGGGACTATAGGACTGAGTCACTGGACCCAGCCTAGTGACCAGCTGTGGCTGGGCTCTTGCCAGAAGCAGGCAAGATTAAATTCATTTGAAGGATGAAAGAATGGAGCATCTGGAGCTTTAACAGCACCTGCTGTTGTTAGGGGCCCAGGACCTCCTGCCGTGAAGCTTCCACAGGCCATAAGGGGGCGCTGGATGGCAGGAAGCCACAGCACGTCTTCCCATGGATGCCAACAGCGGTGCAGCTTGACATGTCACTTTCCTGACCCCAGCGGCCCTGTGACCTCTTCTCTGGCCTGGGTCCCTGTGACTCCGAGACTCGTGTGAGTGAAGACCATGTTTATTTCAAGCCCTGGGGTTTGAGAGGGCACTGCTATGGCAGCAAAGCTGTAAGTGGCAGATCTGAGTTTAATTCAATTTAAATGCTGTACCACCCATCCATCTTAAGTATAATTAAATAAATTTTGGTAAATGTATTATGCAACCATCACAAATCTAATTTTTTTCCAGTACAGGAATCGAACTCAGGACCTTGTGCTTGCTAGGCAGGTGTGTTCACAATCTAATTTTTTTAATGGTTGGAAAAGATCTAAAGGTAGAAAAAGAAGCACACCTTACAGCCTAAGGGCAGGCCACATACCAGAGCAAACACAGCAGCCCATCACGATTTCATTTTAGTACATTTCCATCACACCAGGAAACCAACAGTGGTTTCCCGTTGACGCTCCCAGGCCCACGACCCCGCGCAGGGATTTGCCCTTTGTGGACGTCTCCTGTGGGCAGAAACACATAACAGAGACTCTGTAGCCGGCGTGCTGGAGTCCACCCCGTTAGAGAATGTGCACGGTCCTCTCTTGCTTCATTTGACTAATACTCCATGTAGAAATACAGTGCCATTTTATCGTAGATACCTGTTTGTTTCCACTTTTGACTATTAGGAGAAACACTACTATGAACATTCACATACAAGTGTTTACAAAGATAGACAGACTGATGGGTTTTTTGGTGGAACTGGGGACTGAACACAGGGCCTTCGCATTGAGCTCCATCCCCAGCCTTTTTTGAGACAGGGTCTCACTATATCATTAAACTGTCCAGTCCTTTTCCTCGGCTTCCCTGGGAATGCAGGCAGGTGTGTGCAGCACACCTAGCTTAGGTATGTTTTCACTTCTCTTGGAAAGATACCAATGGACTGAACGCCTGAGTCATATCATAAATCTATGTCTAGCAAACAGTATTTAGGGAACTGCCAAACTGTTTTCCAAAGGACTGAACCATTGCTAGGTGTGGTGGTATGTGTCTGTGACCCCAGCACTCAGGAGGCTGAGGCAGATCACTGTGAATTCCAGGCCAGCCTGGGCTACATAGCGAGACTGTCTCAAAAAACCAAACCAAGACAAAGTGGTGGTACCATTTTTTCATTCCCATCAGTAATGAACAAGTGCGAGGAATCCAATTCTCCACATCCTTGCCAGCACTTGCTACTACTGTCAGTTTTTCTAACACAGCCACCCTAGTGAGTATGCAATGGGATCTCGCTGTGGATTTTTTTTGGTACCAGGGATCGAACTCAGGTCCTTGCACTTTCAAGGCAGGTGGCAGAACCACAGAGCTAAATCCCCAGCTTCTCTGTGGATTTAATTTGTATTAATGGCTAACAGTATGTAGCAACTTTTTTTTTCCCCCAGAACTGGGGATCGAACTCAGCACCTTGCACTTGCCAGGCAGGCACAGTGCCACTACTGAGCTACATCCCCTTTGCAGCAACTTTTTACAGACATGTTGGCAATGTCTGTGTCTGCTGTGGCGAGATGGCTATTCAAATCTTTTGCCTTTTTAAAAAATGAGTTATGGGTCTCCCTATTAAGTTGTGAGAGTTAATTCCATACTCTAGAAACAAGTCTCATTACATATATGATTAGAAGTTTTTTTCAGTAAAACAAAATATTTCAAAAAAAGATAACTGATACAATAAAAAAGTAATCATAAAGGCTAAGAACAAAAGTTTACTCTCAAAATTTTTACTTGACTGTGAGCATCCTAACAATGAAAAAAAGCATTAAGAATTTCAAAGTGGGACCGGAGATTTAGCTCAGTGGTTCCACTGCCTGCCTCATAGGCATAAGGACCAGAGTTTGATTCCCAGTACCAAAAAAAAAATTTCAAAGTAAAAGCTGGGCGCAGTGGTGCCCACATGTAATTCTAGCACTCTGGAGGCTGAGACAGGAGAATCCCACATTCAAGCCCAGCCTGGATAACACAGCAATTTAGCAAGACCATATCTCAAAAAAAAAAAAAA